ACTCCATCTGCCATTTCTCCGCCCAACTCTCCATCTATCTATATTCTGCTGCATTCTCCAACAGTCCCCTTCACTATCTGCTACTCCACCAATCTTAGTGTGATCTGCAAACTTGCTAATCAGACCATCTATACCTTCCTCCAGATCATTTATGTATATCACAAACAACAGTGGTCCCAACACGGATCCCTGTGGAACACCACTGGTCACAGTTCTCCATTTTGAGAAACTCCCTTCCACTACAACTCTCTGTCTCCTGTTGCCCAGCCAGTTCTCTATCCATCTAGCTAGTACACCCTGGACCCCATGCAACTTCACTTTCTCCATCAGCTTACCATGGGGAACTTTATCAAACGCCTTACTGAAGTCCATGTATATGACATCTACAGCCCTTCCCTCATCTATCAACTTTGTCACTTCCTCAAAGAATTCTATCAAGTTGGTAAGACATGACCTTCCCTGCACAAAACCACGCTGCCTATCACTAATAAGCCCATTTTCTTCCAAATGTAAATAGATCCTATCCCTCAGTATCTTCTCCAGCAGCTTCCCCACCACTGACGTCAGGCTCACCGGTCTATAATTACCTGGATTATCCTTGCTACCCTTCTTAAACAAGGGGACAACATTAGCAATTCTCCAGTCCTCCGGGACCTCACCCGTGCTCAAGGATACTGCAAAGATATCTGTTAAGGCCCCAGCTATTTCCTCTCTCACTTCCCTCAGTAACCTGGGATAGCTCCCATCCGGACCTGGGGACTTGTCCACCCTAATGCCTTTTAGAATACCCAACACTTCCCCCCTCCTTATGCCGACTTGACCTAGAGTAATCAAACATCTATCCCTAACCTCAACATCCGTCATGTCCCTCTCCTCGGTGAATACCGATGCAAAGTACTCATTAAGAATCTCACTCATTTTCTCTGACTCCTCGCATAACTTCCCTCCTTTGTCCTTGAGTGTTACTCACCCACTCACTCAGTCACTCACACCCACTCACCTACTCACTGACACTCACCCACCCACCCACTGACTCACTCATTCACCCACCTACTCACTCACTCACTGACTTGCTCTCACTCATTCACTCTCACTCACTCCACTCCTCTCTCATTCACTCACTCACTCTCACTCACTCACTCTCATTCACTCACTCTCACTCACTCACTCTCATTCACTCCACCCCTCTCTCAGACACTCACTCACTCACTCTCACTCACTCTCACTCACTCACTCACTCTCAATCACTCTCACTCACTCACTCTCAATCACTCTCACTCACTCACTCACTCTCAATCACTCTCACTCACTCTCACTCACTCACTCACTCTCACTCACACTCTCTCACTCACTCACACTCTCTCACTCACTCACACTCACTCTCACTCACTCACTCACTCCACCCCTCTCTCTCAGACACTCACTCACTCACTCTCATTCACTCACTCACTCTCATTCACTCACACTCACTCACTCTCACTCACTCACTCACTCTCACTCACTCACTCACTCTCACTCACTCACACTCACTCACTGACTGACTCTCACTCATTCACTCACTCACTCACTCTCACTCACTCACTCTCACTCTCACACTCACACACTCACTCACTCACACTCACTCACTCTCACTCACTCACTCTCAGTCACTCACACTCTCACTCACTCACTGACTCTCACTCACTCACTCACTCACACTCACTCACTCACACTCACTCACTCACTCTCACTCACTCACTCCCACTCACTCACACTGACTCACTCTCACTCACTCACTCACACTCACTCACTGACTCTCACTCACTGTCTCCCTCTCACTCAGACCCTCTAGCTGTAGCTGTTTCTCTGAGATGTGTGAATGGAATTATCGATCTGTTTGTCATGATTTCGGATGTTGTTGTTTCTCTCTTTGTCAATGATCTTAACCTTGACATGGAGAGCATGACCTTCCTTTGGTGCCCTCCCCCACTTTCAGAGTTTTTTTACAAATCCAGAAGTGTTCTCACACACACTGAACACTTCATTCTCCTATCACCTCATCACCCTGCTGTTGTATTTTCACCAATAAACCACCTGTGTATCCAACTAAATCATTTACATTCACTTGGTCTGCTTTCAGAGGGTGTTTTTGCAAACCCAGAAGTGCCCTCTCACAAAACTGAATGGTTTTTTTCCTCATTACCAAATTATTGTGACTTTTTTTTTGTAACTATGAACCATCACCAGTAAATTTCCTGTGTAGCCAATTGGATATTTACATGCAAACCAACTGAAGGTGGGGTGGGTGGGGGCTGTGGGGAGGGGTGAGGGGCCGAAATGAAAATGGAGTTGGATGGAGCGATGGGCACCACATGGCACCCACCTCTGTAATGACATTGAGGGCACTGATAGGCACCACATGTCTGGGTCTGCTTTCTATTTCTCTCCTTGTAATTGAAGCTGTTTCTCTAACCATCATGTTGAGAGATGTTCCTACATTCCTCTGTAGGAGGCCAGGGTCAGGCTTCTAAAGGGCTCAGGTGTGAATGAGAGTAAGGTCTATATGGATGATCAGCCAATACCACTGTCTCTGTCTCAGTGCTCCAGTGACGCTTAGCACAAGCTGGAAGAACAGCACCTCATTTTCCTCTTGGGGACCCTGCAGCCCTCTGGACTCAATATCAAGCTCAAGAACTTCAGGGCTTGATCCCATCCTTCCACGTTGTTTTTTTACCCAGCCTATACTAGTTATGACAAGGGATGTTTTTAGCATAGTCAACCATTCCCACATACTCCCAAACCCATTATTACATTATATGGGTCACGTTCAGCACAGCTCACCCACTCTCTCTCACTCTTAGCTCTTGTTCTCTCTTCTTCAGCTTTTCTCCTGTCCTAGGCATGATATCCATTATCTCCTCCTGGCAGCATCCTGGTAAATCTCCTCTGCACCCTCTCTAAAGCTTCCACATCTTTCCTATAATGAGGTGACCAGAACTGAACACAATATTCCAAGTGTGGTCTAACCAGCGTTTTATAGACCTGCAGCATAACCTCGCGGCTGTTAAACTTAATTCCCCTGCCCATGAAAGCCAACACACCACACGCTTTCTTTACAACACTATCACCTTGGGTAGCAACTTTGAGGGATCTATGGACGTGGACCTCAAGATCCCACTGTTCCTCCACACTGCCGAGAATCCTGCCATCAACCCTGTATTCTGCATTCCAATTTGATCTTCCAAAATGAATCACTTAAGATGATTGGTGAATGAAAAGCAGTTGATGTTGTCTACATAGACTTCAGTAAAGCCTTTGACAAGGTCCCTCATGGCAGACCGGTACAAAAGGTGAAGTCACATGGTATTGGGGTTTGCTGGCAAGATGGCTACAGACCTGGCTTAGTCACAGGAGACAGGGGGTAGCAGTGAAGGATGGTCTTCGGAATGTGACTGGTGGTGTTCCCCAGGGATCTGTGCTGAGATTTCTGCTGTTTGTGGTCTACATAAATGATTTGTAGGAAAATGTAGCTGGTCTAATTAGTAAATTTGCGGATAATACAAAGATTGATGAAATTGCAGTTAGTGAGGAGAATTATCAGAGGATACAGCAGGATATAGATCAGTTGGGGCATGGGCAGAGAAATGGCAGATAGTGTTTAATCCAGACTAATGTGAGGTGGTGCATTTTGGAAGGTCAAGTACAAGTGGAAATTATACAGTGAATGGCAGAACCCTTTGGAGTATTGATAAGCAGAGGGATCTGGGTGTGGATCTGGGTCCAGATCACTGAAGGTGTCAGTACAGGTAGATAAAGGAGTAAAAAATGCCTATGGCATGCTTACCTTCATTGGTAGGGACATTGAGTACAAGGATAGGCAAGTTATGCTGCAGCTTTATAAAATTTTAGTTAGGTCACATTTGGAATATTGTGTACGGTTCTGGTCACCACACTACCGGAAGGATATGGATGCTTTGGAGAGGGTACGGAAAAGGTTTATTAGGATGTTACCTGGTATGGGAGAATTTAGCTGTGAAGAAAGGCTGGATAGACTGGGTGTGTTTCCACTAGAACGCAGGAGGTTGAGGGGCGACCTGATAGAAGTTTATAAGATTGTGAATGGCATTGATAGAGTGGAAAGTATGAGGCTTTTTCCCAGGGTGGAGGGGTCAATTACTAGGGGACACAGGTTCAAGGTGTGAGGGGTAAGTTTAAAAGAGATGTGTGAGGCAAGTTTTTCACACAAAAGGTGGTGAGTGCCTGGAACGTACAGCCAGAGGAGGTAGTGGAAGCAGACACGATAGCAGCATTCAGGAAGCACCTGGATGAATACATGAATAGGAAGGGAATAGAGATACGGATCCTGTAAGTGAAGACAGTTTTAGTATGGAAGGGCAAAATGTGTCAGTGCAGGCTTGGAGGGCCGAAGGGCCTGTTCCTGTGCTGTATTGTTCTTTTTTATTTGTTCTTATTTGTTTTCTCCTACTTGTGGGAATATCTTCTCCATGTACACTCTGTCCTGGACTCTCACTATTCTATAAATTTCAATGACATCACACCACAATCTCCCAAGTGAACAGAATGCACCTTGTACTTGTTTTGGGATCAGTGTTTTGGGAATTGTTTAATTTTGTGTTCTGATCTATGAAGGTGAAGGGAGATCCGGAATAACATCTATAACCTCCTTCTCTGGTTGGCTTTTTGTTTCAGATATTTTTACACCAGGAAGCTCTACATTAAGTTGTTTTCAGTGAAATGCCTTCACAGCATGGCGTCCAATTACAGTGTTACTGCAATTCGTGATTACTGCGATAAACTGTTTTATAAACTACTGCCCCAGGATCCTTCCTTCAAACAGCAGCTGGAGCTATACAAATACGCTGAGCTGGTGAATGATCTCTATCTCCAGGGCATATGTTTGAAATACTTTGCCTGGCACTGTGAGGCCTTCAGCCAATCAGCAGTGTGGTACCAAATGTCAGGAAAGGGGCTGGACGCTTTGCTGCAGAGTTCGGATCTTGTTATTCGGGATGAGTTCACCTTGTTCCAGGCAGTCGAGGCCTGGATTGTTTTGAATGAGAAGTCTGAGCTGACTGACCAGTTAATGGGGAAAATTCGCTTCAACATGATGTCCCCAGAAACGTTGATCTCTATCCCATTTAACTCGAGTCTCTACCAGGCTTCCCAGAATACCTTCATCCCTAAACTCCTCGAAGCGTTTGAATTCCATTCTGTTTCTGTGCAAAAGCTAAAATATTACAGAAATATCTTGGATCCTCAGTACCATCCCAGAACCTACACTACGTTACATTGGAGCACTGTTCTGCCCATCACCTCTACTGGATACAGCCCCTCTCGAGGATCCACACGGTACTCAGGGAAGTCTTTCTATATGACTCCTGCCCCACATCGCGGTGAAAGCGAGTGGTATTATGGTGGCTATAACCCCTATCGCTCCTCTCCCAGCTCCTTCTTTCAGACGGCTGAGCACACGAGCCAGCTGTATACCAACAGGAAGCTCTCCTGGTCAGCTTGGTACCACCACAATGCTCAGAGGTGTCGAAACAGTAATATCATCTGTCCCTATGACACTTACCCAGTAGCTGCATTAACCACTGCCTCTTACACCATTCCAATGTCCATCACATACGACAACAGAGTGCTCCTGCTCTGTGATGATCACCACATTGCCTTTGTTCAGGACATGAAGAATTCCACAGCTGTACTCCCCTCACTCAATACTACTGGCCTCTTCCTATTCCCTTGTAAGACAGGAGTTACATCCATCAGGTTTGTGGTCAGGCCAATCTATACCTAGCCCCCCCTCCCACCCCCGGGTCATCCAGATGACCTACTAGATTGGGCAGACCCTCCATAGACCTCCTGGTGTCACCATTAACCTGCACACAGCCATTTCTCTAATCCTCATGATAAATTCTCCCAATTCTGCCTAGAATAGACACACATTTGTTTCAGCCAATGTTTTACCTATTGGGAAAAGCTTTTACAGTTGGTTTTATGAGCTTTCTTTTTGGAAGTTTACATTGAATCTATTCTCACTTCCTCGGTCTGCTTTTGCTGCATTAGAAATTCCTCCCAGTCCTCAGGTTTACAGCTAATTCAAGTAAATGTATTAGCCTTTTCTTCAAGCCTTATGGAGTCCTTAGCATCATTTGTCAGGTGTGGATAACTTTTGGTATTTGCATTTTTTGCCTTGAATGAAGGTATACTTACTGTAAGCTATAATCATTTTTTAAAGAATGTCTTTTTCCATTGCACCATCATACCTTTCAGTAAATTGGTTCAATCCAGCTCAGCCAATCTGTGTTTCATACTTTAAATCAAATCCAACACCCTCTCTTCCAAATGAACCACTTCACTTTCAAAGATCATGTAAAGTTCTCTCTTATCATTGGTCACTCATCCTGACAGGTTCAGTTACAACAAGTTCAAAGAGGAGAGTCACAATCAGTCAGCATCACTGGGCAGCAACCTGGGAGACCAATGATATAACAACGGGCCTTTCTGTCCATCGAGTCTACTCTGCCATTCAATCATGGCTGAATGCTGGAACTCAATAACAGACACAAATTGCTGGAAAAGCACAGGAGTTCTGGCAGCATCTCAAGTTCTGAGGAAAGGCCACTGGACCCATAATATTAATTCAGATTTCTCTCCACAAATGCTGCTAGACCCCGTGAGCTAATCCAGCAATTTCTGGTTTTGTTTCCATCATGGCTGAAATGTTGCACAACTCCATTCTCCTGTGGCAACATAATTCCAAGTCAGTATGGTGAGTGATTTGGAGGGGAATTTGAAGGTGGTGATGTTCCCTTGTATCTGCTGCCCTTGTCCTTCTAAATGGAAGTGGTCGTGGGTTTGGAAGGTGTTGTCTGAGGATCTTTGGTGAATTTCTGCAGTGAATCTTGTAGATAGTACACACTGCTGCTACTGAGCGTCGGTGGCAGAGGGAGTGAATGCTTGTGGATGTGGTGCCAATCAAGCGGCTGCTTTGTCCTGGATGGTGTCAAGCTTCTTGAGTGTTGTTAGGGCTGCACTCATCCAGGCAAGTGGGGAGTATTCCATCACACTCCTGATTTGTGCCTTGTAGATGGTGGGCAGGCTTTGAGGAGTCAGGAGGTGAGTTACTTGCTGCAGTATTCCCAGCTTCTGGCCTGGTCTTTTTTAATTCATTCATGGAATGAGGGCGTCGCTGGCTCGGCAGCATTTATTGCCCATCCCTAATTGTCCAGGGGGCAGTTCAGAGTCAACCACATTGCTGTGGGTCTGGAGTCACATGTAGGCCAGGCCAGTAAGGATGGCAGTTTCCTCCCCTAAAGGACATGAATGAACAAGTTGGGATTTTGTAGCAATCATAGAACATAGAACATAGAACAGTACAGCACAGTACAGGCCCTTCAGCCCACGATCATAGAATCCCTACAGTGCGGAAACAGGCCCTTCGGTCCAACAAGTCCACACTGACCCTCAGAGCATCTCACCCAGACCCATCCCCCTATAATCAACCTAATCTGTAAATCCCTGAACACTATGGGTAATTTAGCATGGCCAATCCACCATAACCTGCACATCTTTGGACTGTGGGAGGAAACCGGGGCACCCGGAGGAAACCCACACAGACACGGGGAGAATGTGTAAACTCCTCACGGACAGTCACCCGAGGGTGGAATCGAACCCGGGTCCCTGGTGCTAACCACTGAGCCACCGTGCTACCATCTGAGTAGATGGAATATAAAGTGGGGAAAACTGATGTTACACTCTTTGGCAGGAAGAATAGAAAGGCTGAATTTTATTTAGAACATAGAACTGTACAGCACAGGTATAGGTCCTTCGGCCCACAATGCTGTACTGAACATGACACCAAATGAAATTAATCCCTTCTGCCTGCCATTGCTCCATACCCTTTCATTCCTTGCAAATTCATGTATTTATCTAAAAGTCCCCTAAATGCCCCTATCGTATCTGCCTCCACTACCCCTGGCAGTGCGTTCCAGACTCCTACCGCTCTTTGTGTAAAAAACTTGCCCCTCACATCTCCTTTGAACCTTCCCCCTCTCACCATAAATGCATGCCCCCTAGTACTAGACATTTCAACTCTGGGAAAAAGATTCTGACTGTCAACCCTATCTATACATCTCATAAACCTTACATATGCTTCTATTTTACTTCTGACTAAATTCTCAACCTCCCTCGTTATCCAAGGGTCCCTTACCTTGCCATCCTTGTCCTTCCTCTTTACTGGAACATTCCGATCCTGAACTCTCCCCAGCAGGTCTTTAAACAATTTCCACATGTCAAATGATATAAAATTAGGAAGTATTGTTGATAGCGAACAAGGTTATCAAAAATTACAGAAGGATCTTGATCAAATGGGGAAATGGGCTGAGGATTAAAAATGTAATTCAATACAGATAAGTGTGAGGTGTTGCAGTTTGGAAAGTTAAACCAAGGTAGGACTTATACAGTAAATGGTAAGGTCCTGAGAAGTGGTGTGGAACAGAGGGACTGAGCAGTACAAGTACATAGTTCATTGAAAGCAGCGTCACAGGTGGACAGGGTGATGAAGAAGGCATTTAGCATGCTGGCCTTCATCGGTCGAGGCATTGAGTATAGGAATTGGGACGTTATGTTACAGTTGTATAAGTCGTTGGTGAGGCCGCGCTTGTGAGTATTGTGTGCAGTTTTGGTCACCCTATTATAGGAAAGACATAGTTAAACTGGAAAGTGTGCAAAGAAGATTTATGAGGATGTTGCCAGGGACTAGTAGCCCTGAGTTATAGGGAGAGGTTGGCCAGGATAGGACTTTATTCCTTGGAATGTAGGAGAATGAGGAATGATCTTATTGAGGTGCATAAAATCATGAGGGGCATAGATAGGATGAACACATATAGTGTTTTTCCCAGGGATGGGGAATTGAAAACTGGAGGGCATAGGTTTAAGGTGAGAGGGGATAGATTTAAGAAGAACCTGAGGGGCAACTTCACGCAGAGAGTGGTGAGTATTTGGAATGGGCTGCCAGAGAAAGTGTTTGAGACAGGTACAATAGCAACATTTAAAAAGCATTTGGATAGGTTCATGGATGGGGAGGTTTCAAGGGACATGGACCAAATATGAGCAATTGGAACTCGTTGAGTGGGCACCATGGTCAGCATGGACCAGTTTGGGCTGAAGGGCCTGTTTCCATGCTGTATTACTCTGACTCTATGACTCTATGAAAAATGCAGACTTGCCTGATAACAGCTCCTCCCAACTAACACTCCCGAGCTCCTGCCTAATGCTGACTTCATTTCATTTTCCCCTATACAGTACCTTCCAACAAGCTCCTGTCTTATCCTTATACATAGCTATCCTAGAACTTAAGGGGTTGTGATCACTGTTTCCAAAATGTGCTCCCACTGAAAGGTCAGTCACCAGGCCAGGCTCATTAGCCAACATAAGGGCAGCACAGTTGCTCAGTGGTGAGCACTGCTGCCTCTCATCCCCAGGGATTGGTGTTTGATTCCATCATTGGGTAACTCTGCAAACTCTACACAGACATTCTCCCCGTGTCTGCGTGGGTTTCCTCTGGGTGCTCCGGTTTCCTTCCACAGTCCAAAGATGTGCAGGCTAGGTGGATTTGCCATGGGAAATGCAGGGTTTCAGGGATAGGGTAGCTGGCTGGGTTGTGGATACTATGGGCCGAATGGCCTGCTTTCACACTGTAGGATTCTATTAAGGTCCAATATGGCCCTGTCCTCTGCCTGGACAGTCTGGAAACTTCTTCAAGGTGGAGAAGACAATAAGATATAGGAGACCTTTTGCACAGACTAGTCAAGCAACAACCTGACACTGTCATACTCACAGAATCATACCTCACAGACCATGTCCCAGACACCACCATCACCGTTCCTGGATATGTCCTGTCCCACCGGCAGGACAGACCCAGCAGAGGGAGGGGTGGCACAGTGGGATACAGTCGGGAGGGTGTTGATCTGGGAATCCTCAACATTGACTCCGGACCCCATGAAGTCTCATGTCTTCAGGTTAAACATGGACAAGGAAACCTCCTGCTGATTATCAGACACTGTCCTCCCTCAACTGATGAATCCATACTCCTCCATGTTG